CGTACTTTTTAGTACTGACTGGGCTCAAATAAAGTTGTTATTGAGTTTTTATTTTTCTATCCTCCTTCCCATTAATAAAGAATCTCGATATCACCCGTAAGGGCATTTTTCGATTCACTACTATCCACTGGAGTACCGATTAAGGCATCGGTCGCATCAACAATATAATGTGTTAAGTTCTTTTATTTAAACAAAAACAGATTTGATAAGTTTACTACTTTTATTTAAGTAGAAAGAGATTAGATGAGTTAAATACTTTCATTTAAATGAAACGAGATTTGATAAATTTTGTACCTTTATTTAAATAAAAAGAGACTTGATAAATAAGGTTTTTTATTACAATAGAATGATTTTTGATGAGAGAAGTACATTTATATAATAGAAAGAGATTTATTAGGTTCAGTACTTTTATTCGATAAGAAAGTTTTTTAATGAGTTGGGTACTTTTATTCAAATATAATGAGATTAGAAAAATTTAGTACTTTTATTAAAGAGAAATGGATTTGATAAGTTGAGTACTTTTAGTCAAATAGAAAGAGATTTGATAAGATTAGTACTTTCACTCATATAAAAAGAGACTTGATGGTTTTAGTGCTTTTATTTAAATAGTAAGAAACTCATTGAAAAGAGTACTATTATTCAAATAGAAAAAGATTTGATGAGTTGAGAACTTTCTAACAAATTGAAAGAGATTGGATGCGTTGAGTACTTTTGTTTAAATAATAAGAGATTTGATGAGTTTTGTACGTTCCTTCAAATTAAAATATTTTTAATGAAAATAGTACGTTCACTCAATTAGAAAGAGATATGATTATTTTAGTGCGGTTATTCATATAGAAAGGAATTAGATGATTTTAGTACTTTTAATTAGATAGAACGCGATTTGATGGGATAGGTAGGTTTTTTTAAATAGAAAAAGATTAAATAAATTAGGATCGTTGGTTCGAATAGAAAGAGACTTGGTAAGTTGTGTACTTTTATTCAAAAAGGAAGAGATTTGATGAGTTAAGCACTTTCATTCAAGTGAAAAAAGATTAGATTAGTTAAGCACTTTCTTTTAAATTGAAAACGACTTGATGAGATGAGCAAGTACATTCAAATAAAATAGGATTTAAAAAGTTTAGTACTTTCATCTAAAGAGAAAGAGATTTGATAAGTTGAGTACTTTCATTTTAATGTAATGAGATTTGATGAATTATGCACTTTTATTAAAATATAAAAATAT